AAAATCTGATGGGTTTGATGGGATATTGACAAACTGTAGACACTCGATGCCTAGAAAGCAGCTAATTGGGGAGTTTGTTTGCATCTCATTTATTCTGAAATGCATCCAATCAACAGCAAAAATGTGAGTGCTTTGAATTGTTTAACATATTTGTTTATTACTTTTTATTTCTCTTTTATTACCATAATTTTATTGTTTTCTTTGCTTTCTATTCTGAATTGTAAGGCATTATGCAGACCATTTATGTGCCTGAAGGAAATATGTAGCTTGTTGAGACTTGGGAGCGAGTACTTTAAATCTCATGTTGACCTCTATTTTTTTTTTTTTTAAGGGACACTATAGGCACCCAGCTTTGTATTCCTGGCACTATAGTATCCCTTTAACCCCTTAATGACTGAGCCAAATGTACACGTTTTGAACGAAACAAAATGTAAACAAAACCTGGCATTTGCGCTACATGTCTGTCCAACCGTAATTCACCTCTTTCATATTAAATGCACCCACCCTTATTATATATAATTTTATTCAGGGGAAACAGGGCTTTCATTTAATATCAAATATTTAGCTATGAAACATAATTTAATATGAAAAAAATGGTAGAAAATAAGATTTTTTTAGATTTTTTAAGTTCTATATGACATTTTAACTGTCAATGTCATAATACTGTTTGCTTTTACTGCAATAAAATACACATATTTGTATTCAGCAATGTCTCACGTGTAAAACAGTACCCCCTATGTACAGGTTTTATGGTGTTTTGGGAAGTTACAGGGTCAAATATAGCACTTTACATTTGAAATTGAAATTCGCCAGATTGGTTACGTTGCCTTTGGGACTTTATAGTAGCCCATGAATGAAATTTACACCCATAATGGCATACCATTTGCAATAGTATACAACCCAAGGTATTGCAAATGGGGTATGTCCAGTCTTTTTAGTAGCCATTTGGTCACAAACACTGGCCAAAGTTAGCGTTAGTATTTGTTTGTGTGAAAAATGCAAAAAAACACCAATTTTGGCCAGTGTTTGTGACTAAGTGGCTACTAAAAAAGACTGGACATACCCCGTTTGCAATACCTTGGGTTGTCTACTATTGCAAATGGTAAGCCATCATAGGGGTAATTTTCATTCTTGGGCTACCATAGGGTCTCAAAGGCAACTTAACCAATCTGGCGAATTTTAATGTGAAAAAAATGAAACACAAGCCTTATATTTGACGCTGTAACTTTTGAAAACACCATTAAACCTGTACATGAGGGGTACTGTTGTACTCGGGAGACTTCGCTGAACACAAATATTTGTGTTTCAAAACAGTAAATAGTATCGCAGGAATAATATCGTCCTTGTAAGTGCTGTTTGTGCGTGAAAAATGCAAAAAACTTCACTTTTACTGGCGATATCATCGTTGTAATACATTTTACTGTTTTGAAACACTAATATTTGTGTTCAGCAAAGTCTCCCGAGTAGAATAGTACCCCCCATGTACAGGTTTTATGGTGTCTTGGAAAGTTATAGGGTTAAATATAGTGCTAGCAAATTAAATTCCCTTTACTTTCGTCATGGGTTGTCAGGCAGGTCCCGCTAATTGTAATTAATTAAGATTAAAAATATTACATAAATATATATGTAGAATTAATATATGTATATATATATACGTATGTGAATATATATGTGTGTATATATATATCATTTCTAAAAAATATTTGTATTTATATATAGGTATATATATATATAGTGATATATACGTATATATTTATGTATATAGATATATATATTATTTTGTTCTATGTGTATTTTGATATAAATATATATATATTAATATCACAATACAGTTAGAACGAAATAACACACATCTATATATTTTTTAATTATTTATTTTTAATTATTTTTTTAATTTTATTTTTTAACGTATTTACATATTTAATTTTTTTATATTATATATAAATATATATATAACAATAATTATATATATTTAATCGCAAGGACCTCACTCTCACATGGCCGGGGGGGCTGCCAGGAGGAAGATCTGCCGCGGGGGGGCTCCCTGGGAGTCCCCCCAACCGCGATCGCCGGCGTGGGACTGCCAGCGACCGGGTAACTAATGAAAGACCGGAGGGCGTACTATTACGCCCGGCGGCGTTTAGAGCCGCCTAAAATAGGGCGTAATAGTACGCCCTCCGGTCTTAAGGGGTTAAGCATCAAGACAGTAAAGGAGATCTAAAAAATAAATAAATTTGGGTGTGTTTTTAATACTGTCTATTAGTTGTGATGTGTTATCAAGGTTTGTCAGTGGCAGTCGAAGGCTGAGGTCATTCACGGGCGGTCTGCCAGTGATACACCTCATGTTATTTATTTTTTCATTTAAAGTGTCACTCCATCCCCCATGACCACTTCTGCTTTTATAACTGGTTATGTTGACCGGAATGTGTGTTTGTAAGCCTATTTCTCCCCTCACTTCTGTAGCTGAGCCCTTCCTGCCCTGCCCTCATTTCTTAATATTCATCTGTTTTGTTCATCCACCTCTCCCTTCCCATGCACTCTGAGCCAGTGAGAGTGGTACGTTCGAATGTTTTTCTATGAGAAGCATACAGGGCCGGTGCAAGGATTTCAGCCACCCTAGGCAAAGATCCATTTTGCCGCCCCCTCATTAAAGAAAATACAATCTCACAGAGGTTTATTCACTAAACTCTGAAACTCTGAAAAAACAGCTGAACTGTGACTGTAGCCGAATTGGAGAATTCTTCTAGATCAGCTATTTTAGCCTACATTTTGCCATATGGTTTCCAACACACACTGCCTAATACACACATACTGCTTAATGCCCACAACCATAAACACACACTGCCTAATACCTACATCCATACTGCCTAATATATGCATCCATACACACATACTGCTTAATACCTGCATCCATACACACATACTGCTTAATGCGCAAATCCATACACACATACTGCCTAATATATGCACCCTTACACACACGCTGCCTAATCCATGCATCCATACACACATACTGCCCAATACCTACATCCATACATACACACTGCCTAATAAATACATTTTAAATTGAATACATAATTTATCGCTGTTATAAATGAAAATTTAAAAATGCATTTGGTGAATTAAATTTATATTAAGACTAGCACAGACAAGCACACACACTGACAGATGAGCACACACACTGACAGACACACTCACTCACTGACAGACACACACATACTCACAGTCAGACACATGCTCAGTCACTGACAGACACACACAGGCACACACTCACTGACATACACACACACACACACACACACACTGACATACATACTCACTGACAGACACTCACACACACAATCACTGACAGACAGACACAGACACATACTCACTGACAGACACACACTCATTGACAGACACACACACTCACTGAGAGACACACACACACAGACAGACACTGACATTCAAACACTCACTTATTTTTTCAGGCCCATCCAGCCTCCCTACCTCCCTGGGGTCCAGTGTGTGGCAGCTCCTCACTCCTCACGCCCGCTGTTTAGTATACCGGGGCCGGAATGACGTTATATGCATCACAGAGGGCGAGCGAGAGGAATGAGAAGCAAAAAGATCAGGCTCCCACACTGTAGTTTACGCTTGCCTGCCTTCCCCTCACCCTTCCCCCGGCACAGCAGGCACCTGCCATAGCTAATAAGCATAGCTTCACAGGCACCCTAAAGTGGCCAAATGGCCACCTGCTGGGCCCCTGTGACAGGGCTCCTCTCGGCACCCCCAGCGGCTCAAGAACTGCTCGCCCAGCGCTGTGGCCTAAGACAGGGGCAGCCCACCAGGAAACATCCGGGAGGGCGCCCCCTGTAGGCCGGCGATCTGCGTGAATGCCTAATTAGCCTAACGGTTTCACCGGCTCTGGAAGCATATGAAGTGACCATGGAGAAGGAAGGAGTGATGCGGCATGATGTCAGACAGGGATTGTATTCAGGACACCTATTATTGTAATAAATTGGTTTATTTGTTTTAAATGTGATTGAAATAAGCCTTTTTATGTACCCATCGTCTTGGGTTAGTGGCTCGTTATAATATATTTGAATATCACCCAAAAATACTAATGCGCAATCTAAAGTTCCTCATAAGAAAATATACATTTATTCTGCTTCAAAAGCAAACAGGAATACATACAATAAAACTTGAACAGATGGTACTTCTTAAATATGTTAGAGAGAGAGATCTTTGATAAATCGTCTATGTCCAGCAAGTTAGTGGTCCTTTGTCAAATTTTCTTTTATAGACAAATATGACAAAACTATTAAATAATACTCTGGCCATATAAGGACACCCTGGAATACTGAGGCACCCAATCCTCTCAATATACCTGACATGCCAGAGTTTATTATACAGCATCTGTTCTTTTTAACTCATTAGACATCCATGCCTAATATGTATATGAATAGGAGGAACATAGAATATGTAATATTCTACAGTTTTTCTTTTTACAGGTTTTAGGGGTTAAAAAAAAAGAGGGGTAGACAAAGTTAGTTGTGCAAATAGGGCAGTATACATTTTTTTTTTTTTTAAATTCTTTATTTTTGTTGTGCAGGTAGGTACATTTTGTTAACGGTCGCCACAACAGCGTATTGCAAGATATAAAACATTTTTTTTTTTGTTGGTTATGCTTAACTATACAGATCGATGTAGTGAGATTAGCTAATATATCATTATATAGACAGACGAGTAGTCATGAATGCTAGTTCTGCTATGTTTTTGTAGTCGCGCTTTGTGATCATGGTTAGCAGTTATTAAATGAGAAAACGCATTTAAAAGGTAAACAACGTGTATATTGTTCTATCTTTTGAGGGCAGTCAGTGGGGTTCGCACAATTTTAAAAGGTAGTGCTGTCAAGCATAGGGACTCATTTGCAGTGGAAACGTAGCTGTTTTAAGATTAATGGATGACTAGTGAATTACTTGTGAGTAATAAACTGCAGTGTATGCTCCCCTGCGCTAACCAGCTCTGCTGCTATTTGCTAGGGCCATTCTGTAAAACATACTGTAGTGTGTGGTCTTGCAGTGTCCCTGCTGCAGGGCCTGCGGGGACGCAGATAGTCCCTGGGTCTGTCCGTCGTGGGCCAGGCGTAGTTGATGGCATTGTGCTGCCCCAGCGCCGCCCATGGTAAACGGGAGCCTCTTAAGCGGGCCTGTCCCCTTGAAATGTACTGTCAGACCTAAACTATATACAAAATGAAATGCAAACGTAATGTGGTAAATTAACGAAAAAGAAGTTCAATACAACAGTGTGAGTAGCCGGTGAAGCTCGGCCATCTTCTTCGGAGGCACTTAGGTGGTGGCTACAGTCTGTGCAGTGTGGGTGGGCTCCCCAGGAACAAAGGGTTTGGAGGTGGCCGGATTCCATTTGTGTGGTTTGGGGTTTGTGACGTGTCGTCGTATGGCATCTGCCGGGAGTCCCAGAGTGGAGAGGTGGGCCTCCGCCTCTTGCAAGTCCGCTATGAGGTACGTGGTGCCTCCCTGGAGCACTTGAAGCTTGTGGGGTGAGCGCCATCTGTATCTGATATCGCGCTCGCGGAGCAGTGTGGTGAAAGGCCTAAGGGTTGAGCGCCAGGCCATGGTCCCCCTAGATAAGTCCGAGTAAAAGGAGAGAGTCATGTCCTCAAAGGTGAGCGGTGTAGTGTTCTTAATGGCAGCCATTACTGCGTCTTTGTCCTGTTGCTTCTGGAACTTGATTATTAAATCCCTAGTTGCTGCTGATGGGGCCGTTGGTGGTTTAGGGATTCTAAAGATGCCGTCGAGGCCCACTCCCTTTGCTTGCTTTGGTGGCAGTATCGTACTCACCAGGCGCCGCATGAGGTGGGGGAGTTCAGAGTCTGGAATTGATTCTGCGATGCCCCTGACCTTGAGGTTCTGGGCGCGTCGTGAATCCTCCATTGTTGCCATAGCCCCTTCAACCTTCAATTGCTGCTGTTGCAGTTGTTTCATCTCCTGCTGGAGGGAGGTCACTTTCCTAGCGTGCGCAGGGGCGGGCTGGGCCGGGGGGCAGGGAGGCAATTGCCCCCCAGGCCGCCCTAAATTCCTGTAAGGCCGGCCGCGGCGGGCCGGCCCTTTAAATACTGCAGCCGCCTGAGCGCTCTGTTAAGAGCGCTCGGGCGGCTGCAGCTTCTCCCCTCCCCTCCCCTGTAGCGTGGCCGAGCTGCACTCCGGTCCGCGGTGGCCAGCCAGCC